TAAAATGTTCAGGATTTTTTTTAAATGTGAAATACAAAGTATAAAACTGAAGGGAGCTAACTCGTTATTGAAGACGAAACATGGCGTACAAAGTTTGTAAACAGGCATCCATTACTAATCCAGGAGCTTCAACAATCATTGAACGCGCGTGAGAATGAGAGCCACGATGGCTATCCAGTGGCTTTTGTAAGAAAATTCAATATACAGAACAAACTAATTTGATTGCCGACATTTCCATCCATAGTTAGGGCATGTCCAAACTCCATTATTGTAGATTTTCGTGTTAGTTTGCCAGTCTCGTACACAGAAAATACAGACACCGAATTGTCAATGACACGTGGTTGACCGTGCTTCAGGATGATTGCAAAAACAAGGTACACATTTGGAAGTTCAATAAAACAATACGCGTGCAAGGGTTGTGTACTAGCTCAGCACGGATCATTGCAGATGGGGCGAATAATCCGATGTCTGATTGGAACAGGTTAAATTGGACGAATGATCCGATGTCTGATATGATCACTAAAGATGGGACGAATGATCCGATGTCTGATATGATCAATAAAGATGGGACGAATGATCCGATGTCTGATATGATCACTAAAGATGGGACGAATGATCCGATGTCTGATATGATCACTAAAGATGGGACGAATGATCCGATGTCTGATATGATCACTAAAGATGGGACGAATGATCCGATGTCTGATATGACCACTAAAGATGGGACGAATGATCCGATGTCTGATATGATTACCAAAGATGGGACGAATGATCCGATGTCTGATATGATTACCAAAGATGGGACGAATGATCCGATGTCTGATATGACCACTAAAGATGGGACGAATGATCCGATGTCTGATATGTCTAAAGATGGGACGAATGATCCGATGTCTGATATGACATAAAGATGGGACGAATGATCCGATGTCTGATATGATCAATAAAGATGGGACGAAATGATGTCTGATATGAACAGGTTAAATGGGACGAAATAATATGAACTAAAGATGGGACAAATGATGTCTATAGGAACAGGTTAAATGAAATAATTATGATCAAAGATGTATAATATGATCACCAAAGATTTGACGAATGATCCTATGCCTGAAATTATCAACAAAGATGGGACAAATGATTCTATGTCTGAAATAATTAACAAATATGGGACAAATGATTCTATGTCTGATATATGTATGACGGCTCGAACCAAGACCTTTTACAATTTTTTCAATCCAATACAATGAATGAATAGTTATAATAATACCAAGCACTTCCACCACCCTAAATGGAGTCGATCCAAGGCTTTAACGAACGGCTTGTAGGAGGGATCTACTTTATCTAACGCTTAACGGATCAAATGCATTTTTATTTCGAGACTCGGTTAAAATGGCGTAGTAGGAAATTATATGAGAGGTTTTGTCCATCAACTTACAAGGGAATTATGCATATTCTAGATTTATACAGGCAGATAATCAAATGGTACATACGAGCATTTCATAGTGGAGCAGAGCTGCATCTTTAACAATGGATTCGTTAGCCGAGATTATGAATGGAAATTTACATCTGTGTTTTATAGTTACTTTGTTTTCAACGCCGTTACCCATGGTTAGTGTGCATTTGAAAGCGCTCACTTAAATGTTGTGTAAATGAGTGATAGGTGTTCATATCACTTAACATTGTATAACCTCGTGAGAGTGACTGTTGAAACTATCTTTGGGCGTTGTCAATGACACTCAAGTGGTGCCACCTACTGCTCACGACACAATATGGTTGAAGTAGCCCCTGTTCCAAACGAATGTTTTGTATTTATATATACGAATGATATGGCTGATAGTAATAAAAATGTGCTCACAAAGTGTTGATCACTTATGAATGTGAGAAGGTCTGTTGTGTGACATATACATTAGACATACCAATAAAATAATTTTATAACGAAAACAACAAATATACAATGTATATCAATATTTATGTCAAACCTTTCAAAGACATAACATCTATGGAATCACACAATGGTCTTATACAAAGTTTTACAAGTAATTTGATCCTTGCTATGGAATGGACACTTGGTAAGATAACCTGAAATGGAACTTATTTCATCGGCTTTGAGAAGAACTTGAAGTGATAATTATGTTAGTACACAATTCATTACACTTGTATGTCTCGTCATTCGGTATTTTTCACTATCGCTGGGGTGTAACAATTGTAGAAGCGAGGTATTATAGAATTCAGATATTACATATTTTTCTAGGTCGATCGGTTGAGCGTCAGACTGGTAAGCCAGGGGACATAGGTTCGAATCCTAGCAAAGGAACTGAAATCAATAATGTCCCCTGTTATATTTGTAACAGTTGACTTCATTCTAATGTTATGTGCGTTTTTCATCTGGGTAAAAATTCTGGAATAATGACAGAGGTCATTATATATTTCAATGCCTCCACTACGATTTGAACCTGTAACCGTTGTCTCACTAGTCTGACGCTCAGTCGATCTAGCTAAAGAGAAGTTCTAACTAGCCGAGTGGATTATTGCGGTGAATATTTTACCAGGGTTACATGAACATAAACGTTGCGGAGTAAAAACATGATAAAAAGCAGATAAAAGGTTTACACTGTAAATGTCCTTCATTGTATTTATACACAAAAAAATCACAAAGTCTGGAATATTTTTCATTTTTCTTCCCAGCACAATGTGGCATTAAAAGTTACTTCTACATTCTCTACTAAACTTATCTAATGTTATGCTAGTGTTACACTGTTGTTAAACACCAATGTTACACTCATGTTTCACACTAATGTTGCACTCATGTTACACACTAATTAAACGTTATCATTTGGTTTTCTGTACATGTATAAAATGCAGTCAAACATTCATTCATTTATACCAATGAAAAGGAAAGACTAAAAGGGCGAAGGGAGATATAGAAGATAATAATTCAAATTTGGTGACAACCTAATCTGATCAGCTTAAAGCCCTCGAAAAAAACTATATTCCTTCCCCGCTTGGTCGAAAATCTGTTCCTTTTGTAACTCAACATTAATTAATTAATTACAAGCCTCATTTAACTCCAAGGTTTGATTGATTTAGCCGTCAATAAAACGTAGTCTTTGTGAACAAAACGTTTGAGAATACAAGCGTCCTAGATCTCAGTTGCTGATGTAGGTGAAAGGAAATAAAAAGAATTGACAGGGTTGCTTCAGTGCCTTCTCCTCCTTTTTCAATATGTGATTTATATAGCTGCCAAAATTGAGCTCCTTCATCCAAGTAAATGATAAGAAAGAAAAAATTTGAGTGGCCAAACCAATTCATTTTCCACGCTTCTAGTGATATACTAGCCAGAGCGGACAGCGTCTCTGGTGGGAAGGCTTTATATAGGATGTCAGGATAACGGGCCTTTCAATATCTGGTAGGGGATGTCGATTTTACGAGATCAATACAAGCTTGTTATAACGCCTCAATATCTAGAGAGATAACCCTAAAGTTTTACTATAGTCCAACACTAGGGAATGTTATCTTTCAATCATTTGATTCACTTTTTTGTCCTAAATAAATTATTTGTGTCTGTTTATTGGGTTACTGGTTTCATTGACTACTGCTGATGAATACGCAATGTTTTCATGAACTAAACAGAATGAAATGCGGCAAAATAGTAAAGATATCGATTGGTGCGAGTATTTGGAAAACAAATATGATGTGAAGAAAACCGTAGTGGAAGTTGTATTAAGTAAAACAAATCCCATCATGTAAACATAATTGTAATCAGAACTCATATAAAACTAGAGCTAAATACGAACAAAAGGAATATTTACACAGCGAATCCTGAAAATGTACAAGGAGAATAAGGCCAGGTGTTCCGGAAGAGTAAAAGTCCTCTGCTTCATCGACGACACCCGCCATGTAAGCGCGATTATAGTGAGTAATATTATGGTTTTGAAATGAGAACATTGTATAAAACATTGAAACCAACGGGTAAACATCAAACAAATCCGGCTTCAGCACAAAGAAACAGAATATTTATCAATGAAATATTTATGACAACTGTAAAACGTCCCCGTAATTTTCATCGGTCTGCACGGTTTATCATACAGCTTGATGGAAAGTTGTCCATGTTGGTTTCGTTGTAGGAAATGATGGAGGTGAGCGGCAGAGGCAGTAGATTGTCCTAAGTTTCCAATTCTGGTGGGGAATATACGATGGATGAGGTCAATAAAGCTATTGTTATTTAAGGACAAGACGCCATCAAAAATCTGAAAGTGAAACTGAAGGACTTCGCAGTCTTTTTGACTTGTTTTGAAAAGCTCTTCGATGAATTCAGCCTCATATGAAAACAAAAACAAGTTAATTTCAATAGGAATGCCAATAGACTTTCGGAAGATCTTACCACCAAACCCGACGATGTTGGCAACCAGAAACTCCATCATTTTTATGATTTTGTCCGGCGTAGATTTTGTCTTTGATTTGGACGTTCCTTTCATGAATTACACTTCGGTATAAGTCGGAATCATACATTTGTACCACGCATAACAACAGAACGAAGGCGTTTATACTAGGATAAAACGAGAACGAAAGAAATATTTCTTTGGGGAGCCATGAAATAGTACAAGATAATAAAGTAAGTGTATGTAGAATTGTTTCGGGAGGATAATCCAATTTCCATTCGTTTTCGCTGAAGATGGCATTGCTTTGATAATCCTTAAAATCTCGGAAACACATTAGACGCTGTCTATAACAACTTAGTATATAGGTAAATACAATTGTGCCGCATTTTATTCTATTGTCACACATCCGTATTGAGACGATGTGTCTTGCGCGCTCTGATCATGCACCCATCTGCATACAGTCCAGTACAGACATTGACAGGAGTCTACCTGTTTTCGTTTAGATTATTTGAGGAAGAATACATCTTAAAATTAACAAATAGACCATGTATTTAATAACATTCAAGAAACAAACTGTAGGACAACATTTAGTATACTCACAAAATTTTATCAAAATCTTACCTGTGGAATTTTGAAGAGTTTGAGGAGAGTCGCCACCTGAATAGATGTCACACTAGAGGGCGCTCCTAGTACTCCGGGGATGACCTTTAGATGTAGCCCAAGGTCAGAATGGTTGGTACATTTGTTTTCATATCCCCCTATATTAGCTATGGACCCTGAAACGAACAGACATAATCGTGAAACAAGTCACAAAGTCCCGCGGGAATGTACGAGATTTGGGACGGAAATTATTTCATTAATAGCCATCGAGGCAAAAAGGATACCAATGTTACCATTGACAACCAGTGTAGCACACTCAAATCATTGGGGAGGAGTATGGAATGTGTATCGAGAATAACTTTTATACCAATATGGCAGAATTTTATCCAGCTAATTAGCGGAATCGATAAATAATTATTATGTCTTTGCAGAAATCTGAGCTCGGAGCCTCACATGAATACCGTTGGTTGTACTGACCATGGACTGGATACAACCACATTAGGTTTTATCAATAAATTGATACATAAACTTTCATTTTAATTTTAAAGCCTACCCTCGTCTTCCATTTCTAATCATATCAGATATGATTGGAGAATTCTTAACTAGTTACCCAGCTGACATTATACTTTAGATGTTGCGATTGTCTTGGCAGGTAATATACAATATAAAGGTATCTGATTTCTTTATTTCCCCTAGTTTCTAATGACGATAACTCCGGATATTCCTTTCAGACTGAGTTTGGTAATTATAACGCAGCTGTTTTACACATCATCACTAAGCATATGACAGTGATGTGATATATTATTTCATTCCTTTCAAACTTAGTAGAAAGTTGGGAACTAATTTATTTCTTTTGTGTTAATTGCATATATCAGGCATTTAGCGATTTATGGTGTTGTGTTCAATACTGAATCATTTTTTCATTTATGTTATATATATATATATATATATGTATTTATGTTTATTTATTATTTGTTGTTGGAAAATAACGATGAAGAAACACCATGGTATTTTCATTAACTTTGACCAAAAAGGTTTTTACTGTTTCATGATGTTCATGTGTATGTGAATGTGATCTGGGAAAGTGACTGTATATCATGTTCTTGTGTGTCTGAATGAGTGATCAATACAGTCATTGTGAGGATACAATTATAATAACATTGATGTTTTTACGTTTTATGTTCGAAAGGTACAGCAAACACTGGCTGGCGATGCTTAAAACAAGCGCGAAACAAACCCCGCACAAAGCTAAAGAAATACCACATTTTTGGTACAAAGAAAACTCTGCCTGCATGGGCTGTATTCCTGAGTACACGGATTCCGCTTGCATATCTATCACATCATTATTTCGATGGGTCACCTGCACAGTACAACTTTCGGGTACACGTACTTGTATAATTGTACAGGGCGATTTACTGACGGATAATTGTGATTTCGATGTCAATATAACTAACTCTTCTATTCACAATGGAATAAAACACATCGGGAATTGTGGCCAATGTATTACGCTGTTTTTCATAGCTTTATAACTCAACTCAGTTAAATCATCTCACTATAACACATAGGCTCCAGGTGATATGAATCCTTTCTAAGAGAGTATCAAATACATGTAAAATCGACGTGTAATTAAGTATATAATCTGTATATAACATTTCCCTTGGACCCAAGTCACGTGATCACTTTGTGAGGATTTTCCAATTTCCAATGGAAATAAAGACTTGCAGAATTTTGTAACAGTTTTGGTAAGGGTTTCAATAGATAATATTCGTTTATTAACATTGATAAAATGCGGATATGACGTCTGAAATGAAGAAATATTTTCACATTTACAAATATTTTTCAGTCAATATAGTAAAAATAACACAGGACTTGTAAAATAATTCCATTAGGAAGAATTGGTTGTACTTAATTCTAAACCTTATTACAGCAAGTGTTAAATTGTACATTGCCGTTATAATGAGAATATTAAATGTGCCCTCATAATCATTACCAAAGGTTATACAGATCTCGTGAGTCCAAAGTTTCTACATATATCTGATAATTTGTTAAATTATACACTTGAAATTTTTTCTAGCATATCTCAATATCACATCGTCCCCCGATAACGAGGCTGGGAACTTCACACCTAATACCACATGAGGGCAATCTTGACAGCAGGAATGAGGTCAAATAACTCCAATCAACATCAGAGGTTACCAAGAGTCCGTAAGTTGGCGGTTTATGGATATACATTGGAGTAATAGAGATTGTTAATTTGGTATGCCTAAGTGTCGACTCGAGCTTGAAGTAAGATTATTGAATTATCTGGTCAGTACGAGCTTTCAAGAGGAAACGGTTCACAGTTGCCTTGACTATACATTGGTTATTTCAGCCATAGCTAAATCACACCTCTTCTGGTCAGGATTCCATACAAAACTAATATTTGGTCCAAATGGCGGAAACCTGTGTCCGGTTTTAATGTTCTGTGGCATTGCTTTATGTAAATGTACCAAACAATAGTATATTTTGGATTAAGGATACCCTGTCCCACTATTTACAAAATCAAAGTAAGCTTTGGTGGCCATGAAAAGCTTAATATGATTGGTTCTTAACGTTTGGCCACGCTTTACTTTCATTAGGCAATTGCCCGTGCTCATTTCTAATCACATGGCTTCAGTCGTATTTCGATTAATCTATACTACAGGATAAAGCCGTTATTCCAAAAATGGGGAGTATTGTTTGTGTATGAATGAAGATAGCAATGGGAAGGAAAAAGCGCGCACGTGTGTGTGAAGGGAGCGCGCGCGAGAGAGAGAAAGAGAGAGAGAGAAGGGCGGGGGAATCAAAAGGCGAAATCAAAATCTTTTTTATGCATATTCCAGTTAGACAGGTAGCCATTGGTAACAAAAGTACACAAAAATACCTATTGTTTACATGAGTGGAAGGGGAAGCGTTTGTATACGTGTGGTATAGAGATAGTTTGTTTATTCATACTGACAACTAATATACTGAGTATGTTATTTAAAAACTAGATCATGCTAAACACTTCCATGGATTGTCAAATGTACATATTTTAGATTTTGTCTTTAGGAAAAATGCACAAACTATTTAAAATATATCACATATTGTTTACAAAAGCTTGAAAAGAGCATTTACAGTGTATATAGAGAGCGTGATCACAAAATACATTCTAACTTTTTCTTCTCATGATAAAATTAGATAGCTATTTACAATGAGGATTTCATTGCCAGAAAAGTAATGTGCATGTTAAACAATACGTTATGGCCAAAACACTATCGAATGATATTCCATACACAGATAACACGGGACAGCAGGCACTCTTTCTTCTTTAACATCTCAAATACATCACACGAAATCTTCAGTCATATTTTGTCTATCAAAATATTTAAATGGACCGTATGCAATCAACATACGTAAGCCGAAGGCAGACTTTATGGTATTGCCGACATCTGTGATTCGTTATTGGCCATTTTAAGTAAAAACAATTAAAGAACACCAATACGTGCAATGCTATATAAGGAACTGTCCATATATAGGGACATATTCGTAGTCTTTATATAGTATATTATACGCTATATTTATAGATACAACAGTCCAAGTACAGACTGGATATAGAACAGATAACGAGTCCGGAAAGGTTGGTTAGCCACGGACGGCCATATAACCACGTTTTCTGAGCGCTTGAATTCGTTTTGTCATTAAATGCAAACGTTTTTATTCCGCGTCTTGGGTTTCCGGTGCTGTTTATCAGCAGGTATTGCATGTATTCATGTTCGATGAAGTCTTCATCACGTAGGTGTTCCCTGTGTGGATTAAAACGCCCTAATCAACAGGAGCTCATGTTCTGTACGTTGTTTTATATGAGCAATATCAATGTATTAATGTGTTTACAAAATACTGTAACTATATCCACTCTTATAATTGTTTTGTATGTTTATGTGACAAGCTGGAGGATGCATCAATACCACTGTATATCGCACAATAAGATACATAAGACATCGTGTTACAATACAATAACCGTCTGACTCACTGCGAAATGATATTGAGAAATATGCATAACGTAACACAACTGACACCTTTATGTATCCAAAAGTTATCAGATATACAGATAAAAAATGTTGTCATATCCAGGTGTCCATAAGTTGTGAGAGAATGGGGTTGCTGATTAGAAAATAGTTTAATACTTCATGAAACAATACTTTTCATTGGATATGTTTTACGTTATCACCCAATAACATCTAATCAATTTATCAAAATAAACCAATTTTAAGTTATTCTTTACATTGTGTTTCATAAGTTGTAGGCCGGTATGTCAAGCTTAGGCCAAGACGTCTCAGAATGGAGAATGTATGTAACATGATGTGTCCATGGGGCAAGTTATCCCATTGCTCCCCAGTGTTACAGAGAGCCTAACAGTAGGTGCGTCGGGTTAACAACACACGAAGACACCACTACTATATAATCAGTAATCAGTAATTATAAATTTCATAGACTTACAAGAACCAGAAAAGTCTTTTTTAAGAATCTATTTCTTGTATATCCAGAAGATGTATATATCTTTCTCGTTCTGCTAAAAGCCCACCATTTAATTGTCTTATTAGTAGACACGGTGGTGCCCTGTTTTCATTAGTTTTGTATGACGTTCGGATGGAGTATGACGCATATTCGTCAATAATGTAGGATTATTTTCTTTAATATCTATATTACCGGCACTATTTTCCTGTAGACACTTTATCAATATTTGGAATTATTTCCAATTTCAACATTCACGCAATGTCCAACACACGTGCTCTGGAAATTACATAAAATGACCAATGACGGGAATATATATTGATTAAAAGACATTTTATAGTAGATGATAGATTCGTGATTTTCCAGACGCAAGATTTTCTACAAAAGACAGAGTTTGTTTTCGTCGGAGTGTTTTTATCGTTCGGCGTGCTACATATTAGAGAAAGCAATATCTGATTTCTTGCTTTACTCGCTTAAAACATTCATATAATGCCAATGCTTTAAACATACCTTAAAATCTCGATGCATACCTCTGGACCCTGGTGTCGTGTGTTTTCATTTTTATACAATCGATCTTCTGTATAGTTTATTCAAAGCATGACCCTGACGATATTGTTTTTTAAAAAAAATTGTTTTTGTTTTGTTTTTTTGTTTTGTTTTTTTT